TGTTTGTATTACTTAACTCTTTTTCATGTTTTTTGAATTCCACTTTCAGTTTGTTAACAAAATATATGAAATCCCCTTTCAAATCACTTTTTACGAACAAAAGATTTTTTTGATCTCTCAGATTAGAGAACTTAATGAGACTTAACTTAACTTAGAGAACTTAATGTTTACTTTTTTAAGACAATTTTTAAGTCTGCTAATGTTTCTTTGTCAATTTTTTTATTAAATTAGTAATTGAATTTGCCATTTACTTAATTAAACCGCGCATTTTTTTAAAATTACATTATGACTTGTTCTATCAATTTTCATTTAGCCAGATTTGTCGATGCATTTCACTTGATAAATATAATATCATTTACCTAAATCCACGCTACTGAATTGAATATCGTATTCTATCGTCGCGCTACTTTCTGGCTTGATCGAAGTTTCTTAATTCGCATGAATATCTTTTGAAGCTGCTCACAAAGAATGGATTAAATAAAACGAGCCCCGAGACCCAACAAATAACCCCAACGGCGCAAATATATTCGTAAATTATTTTATCCAAAAGCAGAGTCAGCGAATCGCGGAAAATTTAAGTTATTATCGCATTATTTACGGAAGATTTTAGGGCAAGGATTTTGGGGTAAATAAGCGAACTTTTCTGAATTCGCATTTTGGCGATGATAAAATTGCAGACGATTTAATATGAAAAGCTGCCAGGCTTAGGTATGGCTTTGATAACGTTCTCTGAAATTAATTATGTTTTAATGATTTTGTTCTAATTATTGAGGAGTGGGAATTAATTTTACCAAAGTCTTCATACAATACTACGTGAAAATGGGTTGCTTGTAGGTTTATTGACAAAATAATAAACTTATTAATTAATTAGTTAACTTCAACACCTACTTTTTTTTTTTGTTACTGCTTTATTTATTGCAATGGTCTGTTTGAAACTTATTTTCTAAATTTACAGTCTCCAACAGCAAAATGTTGCATAAGTAAGTGTGTAAAAGTCCAAAGCAACTCTTCAGCAGATAAAATTATTATTTCCTCCGTTCCACGTTTTTCTTCTTTTTGACATGAGGCTCAATTTCCGAGCGCTCCGATTCTTCCAAAACTTGCATTATCAACAGCAAATCTTTAAAGCTTATTTTTCACAGAAGCTGAAGAGGAAAAAAGTAGCTGCATTGATAGGTTGAGTGAAGGTTTTTAAAACACTTTTTTGTTGTTTAAACTTCTTTTCAAACTGCTAAATTTTAACCTGGTAATGGAACCCATGGAAAGTTTCTTAGAGTAGACTTTTTATGAGTCCGATTTACGCCATATTTAATAATATAAAACTGATATATTTTTATCTTCAAACACGGTAATCTTCAAATATTCTGCAATAAGTAGTTTATCATATTTAAATATAATGAACAAGCTTACGATCTCTCGATATTCTTTTAGCTTGGAGAATATTTAAAATCTAAACTCTCCCTTATTGAGCGACTAATTTCTCGAGTATTTCAATTGATTTAAATTCCATTTCTGAAATTAGTTTAATTCCCTAATAAGATTTTTTTGCTAATGTTTTCTGCTGCTAGGTTTTATGAGGTTTTGCTTGCCGAAAAATTATTGAGCCTTCTATTGCCCTGCAGAAACAAACGTTTCGTTTTTTAATTTAACTAAATATCATTGATTTGATTTTAATATTTTAATAATGTAAATTATACCAGTTATTCATGGAAAAATATTTTAAGAATCACGTATGAAGTGAAAGCAATTTTCTTGAATATTTCTTATACCGACTACAATTTCTATTAATTTTCCAATTATCTGATTTTGTTCATTGGAAAAAAGAACTAATTTATTTATCATTACGGATATACCTGTGGATGTGGATGCGTTAAAGTCGATTTTTTAAATAATAATGGAAACCCATAATTCTTTCCTTGAAATCCTTTAATGTTTCTCTTTTGAGTTTAGTTTTAGCTATTGGAAAAGTGTTTCCTTTTCCCTTACTAGAAACATGAGGATTTCAGATTTTATATTATTATATATGAATTAAAATAGAAAAATTTTGGATATATTATTAAAATGTATCATTCTGTATATTAGTGTCAGATTTCCTTATAGACCTTTAGTTTTATTCAATCTTTGATTCACGAATTTTGACACTATGACCATGATAAAGAGGGTTAATTGGATCAAAATTTTTATTAAGAAAAAACTTTTCAATATTTGACGATTTCCAAGCCTTTGAAAACCCTGATTTAAATCGCGTCTAGATTCATTATACTTAATCAGTTTTAAAAAATTGAAAAGTGAAAGGCAGAGTTTTATTCAAAACAAAACAATGTACCAATTTTTTTGCATTAAATCTTTTTCTTTAAGTATGATATGAAATTTTTCTACTAAAAAGTCATGCTTTCGGAATTTTCACATTACCGGATCGTATGTAGATTTGTTATAGTTTATTTGAAAACTAATGCAGATTTCTTTGAAGGTTTGGAACAGATTTATGGCAAAAAGATTGCAGAATAAACACACCAATAAATCAACACTTTTCCTAAAATCCCTCAATGAGCAGCTATGCAAAAATTGCACATGAACAACGGCTGAATTGGAAGGATTCCTTAGGATTCCGACGCATAATTCTAGTAAATACATAATTTTGTTCTGAATGATTATTGACTGGCAAAACTCAATTTACCAACCGCAGCATCGAGCATTTCTTGAATGAAAAAAATTTTACCACATTGATCACAAAAAAGCACAAAATAAAGTTGAGTATCGGTAAAAGTATGTAAATTTTTTTAGTATTAATTTTCCTTGATCGTCATCGGAACTAATTTACGCTTGTTCCGTAAAGTAAATTGTCTGCAATCTTTCAAAGGAAAAGGGGTTACGGACAACATTTGCTACACCAAACACACAAAATCAAGCGAATATTTTCGAACAAATTCTATATCATACGCATGCTAAAAACCTGTTTAAATTTCCGAGATTTTTAATAAAGAATGGATGCAATTAGCAGCAAAGGTTATGGAAGTATTGGTGGCAGGTGAATCAAACATCTATTTAGGACAATTTCATTTGGGAAAAATAAACCATTGCAGCTTTCCTACTTAACGTTTTCTTTTCAGGTTCAGGTTAAAATATAAATTTTTTAGTCTTCCTTAAGTTTTAGAATCTGGAAGTAGCTTACAAACTAAATATTTTCCTGGAATTTTCCACCGTTTACTGATTTTTCACAATATGAAAACACAGTTAATTATATTTTAATTGGCATTTGAAAGTTTCAGAAAACAACTCTGGTTTTTGAATTATTTTCGCGATTTTCGCAAAAATAAAATTCGTTCGAACAATTCTTTCAACAATCCTATTTGTGTATTCGAATAACTGACATCAGCTACAGCTACAAACAAAATCAATTTGACATCGAAATTAGATAAATTAAACTGTTGTTTTATGTCGCGTTCCAAAACCCCCAGCTCGTCGAGCCAATTAATTATTCCCAATTATAATAATTGAACACATCATTACTAATTAAGTTTAAATCCATTTGACACCGAAAACAAGGATTGTAACACGCCGCACTCAAATAAGAGCCTTAAATCCATCGTAAATAGGGAGATTAGCGTTGCGTGAATCAAACTCCACCTTAACCGGTGGCCGACTGCGTTCCGTAACATTTTACGGATATGATCAAGTTAGCTCTGTTTTTGTCTTGCTCGTGGGACGGCCTCCAGTCAACTGCGCATAATTAAATATCGGTGGACGCAGACCGTAAACAATCAAGCAAGCTTGAGCTTCATGGCCGCTACGGACTAGAGCGAAAATCGCGGCGCCTGACAGAAAACAAGGGAGCGGCGCTTTATTGGTTAAGGGGCGGCACCGCCTCTTTTGACAAACTTCTATTCAAACAGGAATATTAGGGAGTATCTTGTAGTCAATAGCCTCCCTACACCGGTATTTTTCCCTTTGTATTAACTTCTCGGTTCAGTTTACGATGGGACACGACAGGATCGGTAGCTAGGAGCTTTTTTAACGGTTACTTAGCTATTCTTAATTCCGGACTTTCTCCTGCTCAACCTGTCACGCTAAATGCTTGCTCTCTTCAAGTAGAACATGTTTCAGTAGTGTGGATTATGACGGCGATCTGGCTTAGAATGCCCAAAACGTTTCAACATGATCGATAGCTTCGTTTTTTCGCTTTCAACGACTCCTTCAAGTGACAAAAGTGCTGGAAATTAGTGACAGTTAGTGTGGGTGCTCAATATGAACAATGAAATAGATGCAGGAGTGAAAAATTACTCTGGTAGGAATTTAACCCACTTTTCTAACCGTTAGAATAACTGAAACAACTGCGTCTCATAGTGAAAATGTGCAGTGTCTGTTGCTTTTATTATTGAAACTATGTTCTTTTGGTTCTGTTATTAGAACTAACAAAACTGCTTCAAAACACGTAACATTGTTTTAAAATTTCGCTGTTTTTCTCCCTGTTGGTTGTTAATTATTGCAGTTTTTCTGGCTGTTGTGTCGAGGTTACCGTCATTTATTAAATGAGCATCGCTAAGCAAAATATCCGACTAATTTCGATACAACTAATTAATCTTAATCGCGAAATGGCCAAAGAAGGCTTTTATTCAAATTCGGAACGCTTTGGCCAATAAATGGAGCAGAATTATTTCAGTCGGCCGTCGGTCGCGCGTCCAAATTCTCTCACTAATTTCGGTATTTCTTCCTCTGCTGAACACTAATCTATTGAAGTTTTATTACATACGATGGAAGAGAAATATTAAATTGCAATCGAACTGTTTGAAATTTAATTTGATTCAGTTGAAAGTGGGAATGAAGAAGCAACAAAATAAAGTGCCAATTGACGATGCGCTTGAATATTCCATTCTGCGGTTCTATGAATAAAATTTTCGTGGAAATAACCGTTGCACATTTTCATATGCTAAAAAAACAAGCATGTTTGTTTGGTTCGGTAGCTATTTCCGGCTTTTGTTGTTCAAATTATCTTCGTCTTCGTTAAAATCGCCTTTCTTGGCTTCTTAACGACCTTAATAAATTCTAATTTATTACAAATGGAGTTTAACCTCCGTTAGGGTTTTCAACCTTCCTACGAACCTGGTAAATATTATTTAGCGCCTTCGTAATTATCAGAAATTATAATTAGTTTAACATTAGCCAGAGCCTTTTGGCACCTTCATAGAGTGTGCCCTAAAAGTACATTTTTAACATCGGTTAAGCTTTCCATACGGTATATGGTCAACTTTGACGCATCATATTTTGCTTGATGCCACAAGTTTGCCCAAGTTGGTCACATAAAAATATGATAATAAACAATGTACCTACTTAATTTAAAATGTGTGTTAAAACGCACAAACAAACCATTAACATGAGCGGGTTTCGATCGAAATATAATTTCCAAAATGTAATAGTATTCAAGAAATGGTTCCAGAATTGAATAAACTTGAAAATGTTGTTAAAACATTTTGTTGAAACTGCCAGGATTACTAAATATATGGATATAAACATTGCTAAAATGACTGTAAAGCCATCATCACAACATATGTAGCTTGTAATAAAGTTTCTAATAAAGCAGAAATGCAATGAGGTTTTTGATAATTGTTCTTTCACTTTAATATGTATATGAAATATATTCAGTAACATTAGATTACAGTTTTTGTATATTTTATGTAGAAAAGGCCAAATTTATAGGAATATGAGGAATTTTCGGAACATAATTAATCTAGTTTTATTGAGCTATTCAATCATTCCCTTGTGTCAAGCAGTTGCTAATTGTTTCAAACATAACTTTGTTAAGTAGTTAACTTATAAGTTAATTAATAATTCTGATTTATTTTCCTGACTGCGTGTACTTGTTATGATATTCTTATCTTTCCTGGGTCTCAGTCAAAGTGTGAAGTAAAAATTTTTGAACATCGTTTATTTCATTACGTTTCGGCGAGACAACAGAGTATAAATTGAATAAAAATTGAACCTTAAATTTGCCTTTATATTATATATATTATAAAGACAAATTTAAGGTTTCAAGAAGGCAAAGACCTAAAAGAACGTTGATTTTTACCAATCATGAGTTTGTGTAAATTTGAAATCTGATGATGGGTGTTGTCTCGCCGAAACGTAATGAAATAAACGATGTTCAAAAATTTTTACTTCACACTTTGACTGAGACCCAGGAAAGATAAGAAAAAAAGTTAATTAATAAGTTATAACGTTTAAAGAATAACATACAATTAAATATTGTGAGCGTTATTCGAGATTGACTAATTTTACATATTCTGTGAAAGAAATCGATTCTTCATTTAATTGGCCCTTACTAGTTGCGCAGAAGTTACAAGTACGGGAATATAGCCGATATGTTTGAAAGTTGATCAAAAAATCTCCCAGATTTCTTTAGTGAAATTAATTTTATAAATTCACCGGGATCTATTACTAAATCTGAGCAAAGAAGAGTTGAAAAATTTATAAATTTTGATGAATTAAAACATTAAAATAACTGTACCGATCTCTATAAAATGTCCAGTAGGCAAAGCAGTCAAATGCCTTACTAAGGTCAGAACGTACATCCGCTAGATGCTATGAAGAGGGTTTCAGGAAAGGTCCAGGATTTGAAAAATCAAAATCACCCAGGTGTATAATACATAATATTTCAGCCTATATTTCATTAAACAAAGAAATTTAAAACTGGGCCAAGATAAACTCAATTTCCTTCCCGGAAAATCTGGATTATCGAATCCTTTAAACGAGAACTAGATTTTTGGGGTTTAGCAAAACCGACTCACTCAAGTTTTAATGAAATTGCAATGTGCATTGAGTTTTGCGTGCTTCTTTATCAATATGTATATTGTGGGCTTAAAGCTAATAAAGCTAAAAGTGACCAAGTCCAAAATTGCTGCATTTGTGTTTGGTTGATCAAGTAATTTAAATATATATATATATTTGTCTTCACAAACTGACGAAGTCCTCCAAGGCCACATAAATAGGTGCACTAAAATACGTTTTTAATGGCAAAGTTTCCAGAAGAATTGTTATGTAATTTTCGGCTCGGTTTAAAAGTGCATCTACCAAAAATTTTAATATTAGACTTGGTCGGTTTTAGCTTTAAACCAATCATATGTATGTAGCTAATCATTTACATATTTTGTATCTCTGAATAATACTTTTCAGATATTTTGTGAAAGTAGAGCAGATTTTGCCAATTTGAGGATATTTTTTTAATTAGGCTCTAAACGAAATTTACCTTATCTGCTAGATGATGTTCTTACATCTTATCATGTTGTTCTTACAATTATTTTTTGATTCATCATCATAATTATTTTCAACTTCAAATTGACCAAAATCAATTAAATCCTACTGAACTATTCACATTGCTCCATTGCAGTTTCTATTTTGTCTTTAAATCACTTCATTTATAATACCTATTATGTGTTAGAAACGTTAAAATTGAATTCTTTCTTCACTCTTCACTTGCGTCCTATTTACTTCCATCGAAATTCTTTCTTTTTCCCATTTCATGCAATGCGATTTTTCGAATGTTTTTATTTGGAATTAAGTAGTTTTTAGTGTAAGTAGTTATTATCTTTTTAGGTTGGATACTTTTGTGTTCTCTAAAAGTGGAGAAATATTGAAATTTCTGGTACAATCTGTGCCTTCCAAAATTTGTTCCACTTTGGTAGTAGGTTCCAAAAGTAACATGTTTATTTAATTTTTTAATTGATTTGTAACTTCGCAATGATGAGGGTAAAAGCAATGATGCTAAATAATAATTTAGTTGATTAAAAAAGTAATTCTTAACATTGGTAAACGAAAAATAATTGACATATTATAAAAACAAAAGCAAAACGTGGGTCGTAAACAACAATCATTAACACAACTAAACAAATTTTCCGTTGAGAAATGGTTAAGTATTGGTTAGATGGCTCGACAGTGTCGCATCGGTTCTGTGCTGGTGCGAACCACTTTTTCCATTTTATGTGACAGTTTCAAAAACACCGGTTAAGTCGGCTATCTGGAACTGCGGTAACAGGTTCCACGTTTGGAACAATATTGGTTATTTTAGCTATGTTACGTTAAAACTGATAATCCCTAATGTGCATAAACCTAATCGAGCTGAAATATTTTGTTGTCGCTTTGTTTTAAGCATGTGGGATTTTTTCTTAAAAACTGTTTTTCCAGTGGACACGATTCATGTGACGGCGCCCAGCATTCTGAACAAACCGTCACAAACAATGCCTCAGAGATCTCCATTTGCCATCCAGGAGTTGTTGGGCTTGGGAGATTCTCAACATCACCGGTCGCCTACTGCAGCAGTATCGGCCATCACTCCAAATGTATATTCACATCAAAAGGTATGTATCCTCGTAATATGACGGTTGACCAGTTTTTCATGTTTGCATGTTGGAGGTCGGACATCTGAACGTTCTTTTGGTAATAATTTTATTGCAGTATCAACTGCAAGCTCCAACAGGCTTCCATCCATCTGAGCATGGATTCAGCCACCACCACATGACGATGGCCGCCAGCCGCATGGCGTATTTTAACGCACAGGCGGCGGTAGCGGCGGCATTTTTACCGCACGGCATTGCAGCGGCAGCCCAAATGAATGCCGCTGCTGGCGGCGGCCACGGATCAGCCGCTGCAGTGCTGGGATTGGCTGCCGGTCACCAAACTCCAGGTTCTGGTAAGCAACAATCCATTACATTTTAGAAGATGATTTGATGAGTTTCTTCTTTGAAACTTACACTTAATTTGGCTTGCGTTGTATTTTTTCTTGATTGTTCAACTTTTCGAGTTTTTCTTGATGTATTGGGGTAAAAAAACAGGCTAAACTAGAACTTAATGTGTATACAAAGGACGCAACCACAAATCGATATATTCCTAATGACTCTCAACATTGTGTTCAACACAAACATGCAAGTATGCACTTTGTAGTAGGTACAAGAGTGGTTGATTTTTCCTTCAACCAAAAAAGATTTATTAGAGAGAAAAACAAAATTAGGAATATTCCTAATGCTTATAGTAACATTTAAGAAAAACACAAAAAACGACACTATTTTTCCCTTTCAAGTAACACCGAAAATAAGAAATTCACGTCCATCTCATTTAATCCAGTTCAAACAAATGGACTGAACAACATTTTTAACAATATTGGTTCAAAGTTGGTTCACAAATGCTTTTCAAATCTACAACGCATACTAGGTGGACCAAAAGATACGATGTTACAAAGACTGTTTCACTTCATATTTATTTAAAATATTGTATATACTTTCCTGACTGTGTTTCAATTCCAAATCAAAATTCATTCCTGGGTTTCAGTCATTTATTGTCTCCATTTATCAATCAAAATACGTTTCGGTGTATTTTTCCACCATCAACGGATAGTTAAAAAAAATTTTTATTAACTTAAAAAACAACCACAGTTCGTCCTCCATAGTCTCTCACCACAGCCTCATCATATCACACATTAAAATACATCACAATTTCAATACTTTAAAACATTCTAAAATTAATTAGGCCTAACAGGTGATTAGTCAGGACAATCAAATTTGGGAAGAGACTAGAATTCTTCGTTCAGATACTTAAATATTTTTACTTACGTGTGTAGCGTTGTTGCTGCTTTAAGCCTTGGCATGCATTTGGAGTATTAATTTTGTCCATTATCGGACACAAAGCGAATAAAATACTGTTTATATTGATTTCTTTTACTTTCAGCTATTTTTCTTTGTATTCTGAGGATGTTATTTTAGGTTTGCAAAATTCTTCAATATACCGGGTATTAGTTAATATTCTATGTTTATTTCATTTAATTAATGTATGATATACTGAGCTAAGATTGTCGGTATC